GGAAACCCAATGGAGGTTGCTATGAGTTGGAATTGACTCAATGGCAGTGGGTTTTTTTTTTTTTTTTAATTTGTGAAAGAGACTATCTCTTCCCCATTTAGTGAATTTCAGCCCTATGTCAAATAGCATAGGTCGATGGATCGATTTCTGGGTTCTCAATTATGCTCCACTGGTCCATGTGTCTGTTGTTGTACCAATACCAGGCTCTTTTGACTACTATGGCTTTGTAGTAGGTTTTGAGATCTGGAAGTGTGAGCCCTCCTACTTTGTTCTTCTTTGGTGGTGTTTTGCTTATCCAAGGTCTCTTTCCTCTCCATATAAAATTAGCGATTGGTTTTTCCATGTCTTTGAAGAGTGTTGTTGGAATCTGGATTGGGACTGCATTGAATGTATAGATTGCTTTGGGTGGTATTGACATTTTCAACAATGTTTAATCTTTGTATCCAAGAGCATGGTGTGTTCTTCCATTTATGTAGATCTCTTATAAAATTTCTTGAAATAGTGTTTTGTAGCTTTATTTGTATAGGTCTTTTGTGTCCCTGGTAAGATTTATTCCCAAGTATTTTCTCTTTGAGGTAACTTTTGTAAATGGTATTGATTTCCTTTTCAGAGACTTCTTTTTTGCTGTAGAGGAATCCAATGATTTTTGTATGTTGATCCTGTATCCTGCCACTATGCTATATCCTTCAATAAGTTCCAACAGTTTTCTTGCTGAGTCTCTTGGGTTTTCTAAAAACTAAAATCAAACTCTCTTCTTTCTTACCAGTTTCGATGCCTTTTATTTCCCTTTCTTGCCTTCCTGCCCTGGTGTTGTATGTATTTTCAATTTTCAAGTGTGGCAGTAAGAGTGTTGTTCACTGCCATCAAGTCAATTCTGACTCACGGTGACCCCTGTGTGCAGAGTAGAACTGCTCCGTTGGGTTTGCAAGGCTGTGATCTTTCAGAAGCAGATACCACACCTGTCTTCTGAGCCACCAACCTTTTGTCTGGTAGTTGAGTCCTTAACTGTTGTGCCACACCGTGACTCCAGCAATGAGATGCTATCAGAAGAGAAGGCGGAACAGTCCAAGCAGCCCCACCGTGGCTACTAATGGCAGACTTTCTCTCTTCACAGAACCAAAGCCAGAAGTCTACCCCTGTTCCTCCTGCCTTCTGGCATTCTCCTGTCAGTGGTTCCTCAGGCCCCATGTGCTTCAGATCTTCCCAGGCTTCTGTGTGGAAAATCCCCATCATCCAGGGGATTCTAGCCCAGGGCGTCAGAAGCAGCCGGAGCAGCAGGATTCTGATCAAAGCTGCTGCAGTGAAAGCACAGAAGGTCAAGAGAGAGAAGAAGTCTGCAAACCCTTGTGTGGGAGGGCAGGGGACAGAGAGACTTCAAGGGCGTTCTCCAGCCCACCCCAAAGGCTGTCCACAAGCCCTAGAGAAGACAGCGCAGTGGTAGGCATAGAGCCCAGCTCATCCAAAATGATAAACTGTGGAAACAGACAAAGGGTTGAAGGAATTAGAAACCTCAACATGTGGAACGGTCAACTGCAGAGAGGATGAACCAGACTGTGGCCTGAAATCCAACTTCATCACAAACCAGGGGTCCCTCTTAGGGGAGAAGCCCTATGTTTGTAGTGAGTGTGGGTGAGGCTTTGAGTATAAGTCAAATGTCATCAGACACCACAGGACACACTCAGGTGAAAAACCTTACATATGCTTGGACTGTGGGCAAGGCTTTAGCCTTAAGTTAGATCTCATCAAACACCAGAGGAGACACTCAGATGAGAAGGCTTATGTTTGCAGTGAGTGTGACCAAGGCTTTAGCTGTAAGTCAAACCTCATTACACATGAGAAGACACACTCAAATAAGAGGTCCTATTTTTGCAGTGAGTGTGGCCAATGCTTTAGCCACAAGTCAACTCTCAACAGAAACCAGCAGACACACTCAGGTGAGAAAACTGACATGTGCCTGGAGTATGGGCGAGGCTTTAACAGCAAATTAAATGCCATCAGACATGAGAGGACACACTCAGGTGAGAAGCCTTACATGTGCATGAAGTGTGGGCAAAGCTTTAATCGGGACTCAAGCCTCCTTAAACACCAGAGGACACCCACAGGGGAGAAGCCATATGTGTGCATGGAGTGTGGGCGAGGCTTTAGTCACAAGTCAACTCTCATTGGACACCAGAGGACACACTTAAGTGAGAAACCTTCTGTGTGCCTGGAGTGTAAGCAAGGCTTTAAGTGGAAATCAGGCTGCCTTGTCCACCAGAGAACACACTCTGGGGAGAAGCCATATGTTTGCAGGAAGTGTGGGCGAAGCTTTAGCCAAAAGTCAGGCCTCATTGGACATCAGTGGACACACACAGGGGAGAAGCCTTATGTTTGCAGTGAGTGTGACCAAGGCTTTATCCAAGAATCAGTCCTCATAAACCAGAAGACACATTCAGGGGAGAAGCCTTATGTTTGTAGTGAGTGTGGCCAAGGTTTTAGCTGGAAATCAGTTTTCTTTATGCACAAGAGGACATACTCAGGAGAGAAGTCACATGTGTGCAAGGAGTGTGGGCAAGGCTTTAGCCACAAGTCAACTCTCATCAGACACCAGAGGGCACACTCAGGTGAGAAACCTTACATGTGCTTGGCGTGTAGGCGAGGCTTTAGGCAGAAGTCAGGCCTCCTTCTCCACCAGGGGACACATTTCGGGGAGAAACTACATGTGTTCAAGGAACATGGGCAAAGGTTTACTCAGAAGTCAGGTCTCCTTCACCACCAGACAACACACTCTGGGGAGAAGCCACATGTGTGCAAGCAGCATGAGACTTTAGCCACAAGTCAGCTCTCAACAGACAGCAGAGGGCAGAGTCAGGTAAGAAACCGTATATGTGCAAGGAGTGTGAGCAAGACTGTAAAAGGGAATTGAGCCTCATTATACACCAGAAGACACACTTGGGGGAGAAGCCATATGTGTGCAAGGAGTGTGGCAGAGGCTTAACTGGAAATCACACCTCCTTATACACCAGCGGACACACTCAGGGGAGAAGCCATATGTGTGCAAACAGTGTGGGCGAGGCTTTAGCCACAAATCAACTCTTGGCAGACACCAGAGGACACACTCAGGTGAGAAACCTTATGTGTGTCCGGTGTGTGGTGGAGACTTTAGTCAGGAATCAAGCCTCTTTACACACCAGAGGACACACTCAGGGGAGAAGCCATATGTTTGTAATGAGTGTGGTCGAGGGTTTAATTGGAAATCAGTCTTGCTTATGCACCAGAGGACACACTCAGGAGAGAAGCCATATATGTGCAAGGAGTGTAGCCGAGGTTTTAACCGGAAACCACACCTCCTTATCACCAGAGGACACACTCAGGGGAAAAGCCTTATGTTTGCAGTGAGTGTGGCCGAGCCTTTACCCAGAAGTCAGGCCTCCTTCACCACCAGATGAGACACTCTAGGGAGAAGCCACATGTGTGCAAGGAGTGTGAGCGAGTCTTTTACCTGGAGTCAAGTCTCCTTATGCACCAGAGGACACATTCAGGGGAAAAGCCATATGTGTGCAAGGAGTGTGGCCAAGGCTTTAACCGCAAGTCAAATCTTATCACACACCAGAGGACACACTCAGGTGAGAAACCTTACGTGTGCCTGGAGTGTGGGTGAGGCTTTATCCAGAATTCAGGCCTGATCAGACATGAAAAGATACACTCACATGAGAAGCCTTACATTTGCATTGAGTGTGGCCAAGGCTTTAGCAGGAAGTCAGATGTCATCAGACATCAGAAGACACACTCAGATGAGAAATCTTATTTCTGCAGTGAGTGTGGCCAGTGCTTTAGCCACAAGGCAGCTTTCATCCGGCACCAGAGGACACACTCAGGTAAGAAACCTTATGTGTGCCTGGAGTGTGGGCGAGGCTTTAACCGGAAATCACGTCTACGTATGCACCACAGGACACACACAGGGGAGAAGCCATATGTGTGTAAGGAGTGTGGGCGAGGCTTTAACCAGAAGTCAAATCTTCTCAGACACCAGAGGACGCATTCAAATGAGAAACCTTACATGTGTCAGGAATGTGGGCAAGGCTTTAGCCAGAAGTCAGGCCTCCTTTTCCACCAGGGGACACGCTCAGAGGAAAAGCCCTATGTTTGCACTGAGTGTGGTCAAGGCTTTAGCCAGATGACAAATCTCATCAGACACCAGAAAACACACTCAGGTGAGAAACCTTACATGTGCTTGGAATGTGCACAAGGCTTTAGCTAGAAGTCAGGCCTCCTTCTCCACCTGGGGACACGCTCAGGGGAGAAGCCACATGTGTGCAAGATGTGTGGGCAGGGCTTTAGCTATAAGCAGAGCCTCATTAGATATCAGCGGGCTCACTCAGGAGAAGCCCTGTGTTTGCAGTGAGTGTGGATTAGGCTTTAGCCAGAAGTCAGACCTCATCAGACATCGGAAGACAAACAGATGAGAAGTGGGAAGTTTGCAGTGAGTGTGGCCAATGCTTTAACTGTAAATCACTCCTCATACACCAGAGGACACAATAGATGCTCTGTGTGTACAGAGAGAATGGGCAAGAATTTGGGGAGAGGGTACACTGCATTATACACCTGAGAACAGCTTTTTTTTTTTTTTTTTTAAGAGAAGCACTATGTGGGCAGGGATAATGTGAGGTGCTGTAGCAGTAAGTTAACACCTTTTTTTTTTTTTTTTTTTAAGAGAAGCACTATGTGGGCAGGGATAATGTGAGGTGCTGTAGCAGTAAGTTAACACCTCCCCTTGCACCAGAAGACACGCTCAGGGAGAAGGGTGTGGGCAGGGTTTGTGGGCTGAACTTTATTCCAGTGTCTCTCAACTGACTTCAGAGGACAAAATTTTGTCACCACAATCACTACTACACCTGCCCCTGAGGGAGTTTCAAGAGAAGTCTGCTGACCACTATACTCTATGTGGGTGAAGGTTTCGGTAGTAACTAAATAGACACATTTTTCCACATTCTGTAACCAAATGGAATAAAAAAAGGCTTTGCTAAGTAATGTGATTGAATTATTTTATATTCATATACCAATTCTTCCCATGGTTTTTTGTCCTTTCATTGTGAATTTTTTCTTTAATAATCTGTAACTCAGGCTGTGTTACTCCTCTGTTCTGAAAGGTACCTGGAGTTCAAATCCACAATCCAAGTTTCTTAAATGAGTTCAGCCCTTAAGAAAAAATGTGTCCTAAATACATTTGTCGGAGAAGCTGATCCTTTGCACGGGGAGAGGAGTGATCTCGGATTGGGAGATGGACAGGGAGGGAACGTCCCACATCTCCAGGGGCGGCATTACCTCTTCTAACCAGTTACTTTTTTCTGTCACTACCTTCTTCTGTTGGCTTCTGTGAAAGCTCCCTTCCCTGGTTTTCCTTCGTATTTTCTATGCTAGTCTCTGTTCAAGTCTGCTGTATCTTTTTCCATCCTTTGAACTGTGGCTGTTCCCTGATGCTCAATTCCTAGGAGCTGTGGTAGCATAGTGCCTAAGCCACTTGACTGTTAACCAGGAGGCTGGCGGTTCAAACCCACCAGCCACTCCTTGGAAGGATGGTTGGGCAATCTACTTCTGTAGTGATACTGTCTCCGGAAACCCAAGGAGTGGTCACTATGAGTTGGGTCTGACTCGATGGCACATAACAACAACAACAACAATGCTCAATTTCAAGTGCTACCTCCAGGATCATTTCAACTACCTACTCTCCCTTAACTTGAAGTTAGCTTTTCTGAGACTTCCAGTTTCAGATCCTTTAGCCATGCCCAAACTGTTCTCCAGTCTTGTTGCTCTGGGCCTCCTGGCTACTCCCTATTTGAGGTCAACAATGATAGGTCTAAAGACCTCTGAGCACATTTGTAATATCAGGTGTAATGATGTTAGGTCATGTCCCCTCAGCCTTCTGATCTGAGGGCACAATCCTGCTAGTGACACTCCCATATCATTCTAACAGCTGCTCTGAGAAAACCTAGCCATACCACCTTCCTTGTTTGAGGACCAAACCTTTTAACCATGCCCTCTAGTGCTCCTCTTTTTGGAGCACAGATTGCTGAGTTTTATGACAACTTTGCATGTCCTGGCTCTTACTTCTCTGTCCTTGGACAATATCTTCACTAGAGAAGATTTGCCTAGGCTCCAGCACATTTTTCTGCCCAGTTGGGTGTGTCAAGTCCACAGAATGGATAGCAGACTGACAATCAGAAAAAGTTTAGCATTTTTGACATTCCATCAAAGCAGAACATGGCCAAATGTCAGAGTAGTTACTGGCCCCACAGCCATTACCCACTCTTCCTCGCCTTGATGTCAGCTTTCTAGAGGATCCTGAGTCTGTGTAGATGGGAAAAAATGGTTGTAGCACCACAGAACGTGGGGCCCAATCCTTTGCCACATTTGCCTTAATGTCTCTTTGCCATTATGGTGCCCATAATGCCAAAACTGTTACTGGTTAGAACTGGAAGCCACAGGGAATGTCTTTATGTATATGTAATTTCTAGGGGTTAGAGGAGGGAGGATTCCAGATAAATTCAAGGTCCCTTCACTGCTGTTGGGAAATAAATGCAGTCAAGAAAACCACATTACGTGGGAAGAATTATGGAAACAGAGAAAATGGTGCAGATTTTGTTACTGAAATCCCCCATAACTAGCAACCTCAGCCATATTCAAGGAATGGACAGAAAGTCCTAGACTAGGAGAGGAAGGAGGCAAAGCAGTCGTATTTTGAGACCTTGAAGGGTGTCTTAGGCTGGGTTCTTTAGAGAAGCAGAACCTGTGAAGCTTATATATATGTTAAGCTTCACAGATTCTCTCTCTATATCTGTATCTATATACTGCTAGGAGCTCTGGTAGCGTAGTGCCTAAGGCATATATAT